TTGCCAAAGATACCTGCTTCTCACTGGGGACTAAGCCATGACAGTGATTTATATCACACCCATTTTCATGCAGAGGATGTCATTTGCATATGAGTTATAGCCTTGTCACACAGAGCAAGAAAGTCAGCAACTAGCTAAATCCTCACTTGTGGGAGATGTTTTGCAGGCCTGTAGCACCTTATCAGCAGGCAGAAAAGGGCTGCTATGATAATGAAAAAATCTCATTCTTCCTGCATCTTGATAAAGCTGTGCAAGAAAAACAATGAAGTCTTAGATTGCACTGGTGCTCTAAATCCTCACTGCAGTGCTGGAATCTTCCCTGTTCAACAGAGTACCTGCAGAAGCCTCCAGAGAGAAAATGCTCCCTCCACACTTCTGAAGGAATCATCTTTACAGCAACCTGCAGCTGACAGGGAGAAGGTAGGATTACTATTCACAGCACACTTTCATAAAAAATACCTACCATCTTATTCTTGCCCTGCTCCCCCTGCAAAACAACAGCCATCTTCTATTAAAAAATGTAAAGAGATCTTTGCAAAATCTACACTTTCACAACCCAGGAATATCCCTTTCAAAACTAGGACAAAGGTATCTGAGGTACAGGACCCAGAAGAAAACAGCTACAAATGATCAATGATTGTCATGATTTATGTTCAGGTTGCTTGGATTTTGGACTGGGGCCTGGCCAACACAGCAGGTCAGATGATGCCATCCTTATTCATACGGGTAATGTTGTTATGAACAGACCAGCTGGATTGCAAGACTAGCACTTAAGCAGAAGCAAATATGGCATAGGATTTCCTGGGGATTAATGACTGGCTGAGAGTTGATGATAGCCAGAAACACAGGCAGTCATTAATCTTAATCCTCAGGAAATGATGTCTATCAAGGTCATTATTTCTGTAATAAGATAAAAGCAAACAAATACCTAATGTCATACAGATATTTATATTTTTAATGAATGATGATGTCTCAGCTGTAATGTAAAGTTCACATCTCATTAACAAACATCCTACACATTCACCTGCTAGAGTGGCCGAACTCTTATCTTCTTATAAGCTTTATGCTGAGACCAAGATTTTGAAGGGGAGAAGCCTTCCTTGTCTAGACTGTTAAATCCACAGCATGACTGCACACCTGCCTGATTATAAAGAGCCAAATATCCAGCAGCTCCCACTGATCTCAGATATTACTCATCTGTCAGAGGTGGGCTGAACACCTTGCAAGCCTGCTGATTCTGGAGAGTTTGCAAGGTGGCTTTTACAAGACAGCCACAAGCCATATAAAGCCACATTTATTATGTGAAAAGGGAAAAGGAAGGATAGGTTCATAAGTGCGCAATAGTATATAGGGACTGCTCTGTTTATCGACATTTTTGGATAGTAAATCTTATTCTCTCATTTCATGTTATCCTACTTGCAATCAAGTGCATTTTTAATATGCTTTCAATTGCATTAGAGGTTGGTTCTGACTTCACAAATGAATTATTCAGAAGTAAATTTGATGAGTTGGTTTTCTATAAATACACTGAATATTAATGCAGTAATAATGGTGTGTAGGTCAAGCTGATCTTTAACAGTCACATGGCCTGTTTATACACTCTATACAGCTTTTGCTACCAAGAGGATGCAGATGGACTTCTTCTCTGTCACACTTGCAAAATCCACCTAACTCCAAGTGACAGTGCAGTGTGCCTTCTGATGCCCCCATTTCCCTTGCAGTTGTTCAAAGGAATGTAACAATGAATTGCATTACCGACTTAAACAGAAAGAAAAGCTGTATCTCTCAGCAGCAGTGCAAAAGTTAGAAATGTAACTTCTGAAGGCAATATTTGATCTAGAAGCCCTCAAGAACCAAGCACAGAGCCCCCGGACTAGCCACACTTTTCCAGGCGCTGCACAGACAGTTCAGGGGGCTGTGACAGCCGCAGTGTGGCGGGTGGCTGTCGGGAAGAGATCTGGCAAACGAGACAGCAGCCAGCAGGGGCTGAAGAAGCCATCCCATGGGAGAAGGCTCAAAGGAGGAGGGTGCAGGCCAGTGAGATCCAGTATGAAAAGGGCCAAGAAGTAATTGCTAGAGAAATGCAGAAAAAGGGAATGAGACAAGAAGGAGGAAGATGTCAGGAGTATGCCCAAGTGCAGGGCCTGCCAGGGTCCCTGTGTATGTGGTAGCTTTGATAGACACCTTTCAAACTTATTTTTTTATTTCAGAGTGGCACTTTTTAATGCTCTCATAAACTGTTTTTCTGCAAATCCTACACATTCAGCAAAGGATGCAATGTTTTTGACCTATTGATCTAAGTCATCATCTGGCAGAAATACTGAGGAAATTTAGGCTGACTAAAGCAAGAATGAAAAATTTTTATAACATCTTTCTGCTTTTCCTTTGAGTCTGATCCATACTTGCATCAAATGATTTGGAAGAAACCCTTTAGCCCCATAGGTTATGCAGCAGGTCCATCATCATCCATTACCTAAGTGTGGCAGAGCTAATTTTCTTTGTTTATGCAAAACTCCAAACTGTTGAGTTTTTTTGCTAGAGGAAAGGACATGTAAATTAGAGAGAGTCACATGGGCCAGAGAAGGCACCAGGTACTCATTTACATTGCTACATCTCCCCAGCTAATGGGTTTACAGAGCAAAGGAATGATTTCTCAGACACTTAATAAATATTATTTCTTTCAATTTGTAATAATGAAATGCTATCAGCTTAAAAAGTTACTTAGGTGGCATGGTAAAAGACTCTTAAAATAAAGATGATGCACCAGTTTGGTTCTTCAATGTCTTATACAAAGATTAAAACACAAAAAGATAAGGAGAAATTTGGTCGGTAAAATTCATACAGATTCAAGTAGATAATTAATATTGTATACAGTAGGTACCCACATGCATTTTCACACATAGTTTTTAAGTGAATGTAAGATTAAAATACAACAACATCCAAATGTATTAACTAGCATTACCTGCCTAAACTTGACACATTATTTACATAAAATGAAATTTTTCCTTAATGGAAGTTTGCAGAATAAGCTGAATACAGAATAATTAATACAGACACTCAAAAGCTTAAAATCTCAGAAAACAACATTAGTGTGTTCAGTGGAGACATCCAGTACTCCTCATGTTTGCCCTCCAAACTGCCTGCTGTGCAAAAGATCTTGAAAACTGAGTCTGTGTACAAATGAGGTGGTGCCTCAGAAAAGGTTAATAATGTGTGACAGAAACATGGATATATTTTTCTCAAATTTTTCCTAGAGTCGTAAGTCTGTTTATAAAAAGCTAAAACCAGTGTTCCACATGCAATTGAATGAATTGCACTTTCATGCTCTCATGAACTAAAATTTGAATTCTGTAAAGTCAGCAAAAGCTTGAAATACTGGCTTCTTTATCTACACCAACTTAAATATCTGCACATACACAGGCTATTTCCCAGCAGCTTTTTGATCCTTTCTTCAAGGAAGTTTGTTTTGCATTCAAATACAGAGTTTACTGTAAAGGTAAGTAGATTGTTTTGCCCCTTTGTAAATTTAGTGTGTTAGTTTTAATGAAATGTCCAGATAATGAAATGCACTTACTTGAAGGCAGGAATACATTTCTATTCCCAGTTTTTTTAAAGAGTATTATTTCCAGGACAAATGAAAGACTTTGGAAAGGAAAAAATCTGTAAGTAGTGAAGTACTACATGAGGAAAAACCCTGAAGAAAATGTTACTGGATTAATTTAAGTAAGATTTATGCATTGCAAACATCTCTATCAATCAACAATCAATCCATTGTTTGAATTGTATCAATAGTTTTACTGACATATGAAAACCAAAATTGAGTTATTTGACAAACTTAATTATAAGTAATACCTGTTTGACAGAAGTGTAGGGTTCTTGTCTCCCTCAGGATGAATTTAAAATTTCAAACTCCTTTTGTCCTTCACTGTCATGAAGGGGGAAGCCTCTGGATCACACTACACAGCACAAGCTTACTATAGCACAAAAGTGGACAGGTCTGAACACTGAACAAGCTATGTATGGGAAACAAATGAAATAAGCTTGAGCAATTGAAAAGTATCTGAGAGATGATCTTATTCTCAATTGACATTAGATTCAAACTGTGCTCCAGTCAACTATTCTAGCTTTCTTGTAGCCTTCAATCTGTTATGTATGCTCATGTGAAGTGCTATACATAGTTTTTGGTCACTGAAGTTTGAAAGGTCTGTCAGTAATATTTTAGGTCTCTTTAGAACATCCCTATTCTTTCACAAGTGCTATTTCTCAAGAAAACTATTAGTGCAGCAAGAGAAATCCGACACACACAGACATCAAATAACATATGGCCTTGAATTTTTTGATTCTTCTATTAGAATCTGAGAGTCAGATCACTCCACAATTACAAAGCCAATATCTGCCAGCTTCTCAGATTAAAGCAGTGGTCTTCTTGCTAATTTGTCAAAGAAACAATAAATCACACCACACTTGGATAAAGCAAATAAATCATTTGCATACATGTAACACAGAGGTATGTTGGCTGCATTTTTATTAAAGTCAGCATTAAACAACCCGAAGTCAAATCAACAGATTCTCATTCTTTCCTACAGTGCTCATGACAAATTATCCATCATTGTGACTTTCCTTTTAAATAAAATCAAAATCAGGGAGGAAAACAAAAATAAAATCTTTATGAAAGTACAGGACGATGCAGTTTCTGTAGCTTTTACATTGCTTCTGCAGCCAAGAGAGAAGAGAATCAGTATTTATGCACTGATCAAGTGACCAGTTTTAGTTTTACTGTAATGAACACATTTCCTAAGTTAAAAGTCTTGGTGTGAGTATGTAAATCACACCATGAAAGTGTGGAACTCTCTCAGAAAATCTAGACATCAGAAAAGACTGATGAAAGCAAGAGAAATGCAAAAAACAGTTTCATGGAGAGAAAGGAAAAATAAAGCATTTGTTTGCTTTTGCATCAGGAAAGCAAAATTTAAAAAAAATTTAAAAATTAATAGGCATACCTTCGGCCAGTGGGTCAAGTGTGTGAATCATGAGCTGGAAGATGCTGTTCCTCATTAGACTGTTGTGGAGAGATGCGGAGCTTCCTCCCCGCTGGAGACGTGGCTTGGTCTAGGGTAAAAAATATGATGAAGAATTTAGGGTCTTTTTGTTTTCTGTGTGGAATGATGTCCGAAAAAATACGCACTAATCTCACACCTCTCTGTATGATGAAACATTTCTCTGGAGGGGATATAATTTCTCTGGAGGGGATGGATTGTCAGAACAGCCATTAGTCTCTCAGGACTCAGGCAAAAACACGGCAAAAAGAATCTTTCTTTGTGAAAACTCATAAAGTGTTAAGCAAATGAAAACCTCATACTTGCATCAGGAAGAGCTAACAATTTTTTTCTTTGTAGAACCTTTTGCTTAAATCCCTGAAGCAAGCTATAATTTTTATTACTTCAGTACATTGCAAATATGTGTATGATCAAAATTATGGAGAAAAAGAGCAGACAGTAGTATCCTTTTAATGGCACTCAGTCAGAAACATGCTCCTCATTTTGGCTGGATCCACTGGTCTCATGGCAAAAAGAGACTGAAAGTGTGGTAAGGCAGTTCAGACATCTCCAGCAATGAATCTAATGTACAAGCATCTTTTGCATGCTTGTAATGAAATACAAAACATAGTCTGAGATTTTGTTCCCCGTGCAATTGTCTAGTACAATAATTATTGTATATACACAGAATAAGACTGTTTTGTGGCAGTTTATTTCAATAAAAAGGATAGTGAGAGCCAACAGACTACTGACTAGAAAGACCCTAAACTTCAATTAGAGGAAAAAAACCGACACTGAAGAAAATAATATTTGGCAAAAATACATGGATTAATCTTTGGCATCGTACACATACAAAGTGAGAAATTACAGAAAACAATAAAGAATATTAATTCACTGCTTTATGTTTGGAAATAAATTATTTCAACTCTGTAGCAGTATAGGAGGAGAAAGAAATCCCAGCGATTTAGAAAAATGTTGATGCACAGCAAACTAATGTAAGGCTTGTCTCACCACCCTCCTGAGAAACAAATGCTCAGATGTATAATTGCTGCCTACCGTCAACGTTTGGTCATCCTTGTCTCCAGCATTAGGTGACTGCATGAATAGGAAAAAGAACAAAAAGAAGTGTCAGATGGAGCACGTAGGGAATGGAAAGGCAATAGAACATCACATATATCTGATCCTATGAATTCTGTTGTGATAGATTTTTGAACAACTCAAGGCATCCCACTGATAAGTAAATCAGAGTAAATTCACACTGCAATGTGCAAGCGCCTTTTACTCTTGTCAGTTTCTTGGACAAGAACTGTTGTCATTTCAGGCCTGGCACAGCAGCTGGGCTGCAGATCACTATGTTCACTTCATACAAATTACCCAGGGAGGCAAACTCCCTGTACAGAAACCAGTTTGAGAGAGTGAAGATAGAAGACTAAGGGCAACAAGAAACTCAGGATTGACCAGCTGTTCCACAAAAAATTGCCTAAAAAGGAGTAACCTTTGTATTTTGCAGGAAGAGACTAGGCAAGGAAATGAAAAAATGTGTTTCAGTTTAACAACACCCTACAAATTACCATTTAGCTCTGATTAAGGGCAAGCAGCATGGCGCACACACCCCTGCCATGAAGGAAAATGAGACTCTGAATGGGTGTTAAATTATTTTCTCCATCTCAAAGACTCTTAAGTGCTATGCAATACACAGAAAACAAATTACATCACAACTGTCCCACAGAACAATCTCTCCCATTCAGTGAAGCACCATTTTTGGACACACATCAACAGTGATTTTTTGGGCATGCCTTTGGAGTTAACTAACTTTGAAGGTTAAGTGGAAGGGAAGCAGCCATGAACAAACACTGATGACAGAGCAAATCCTTTATGTTCCATAATAAATACAAGAATAATGAGAACCAAACTCCTTGTCAAAAATGTACTGCTGCAGCTCTGACTATTAACTCAAAGAAAAGATAATCAGACAACAAAAACATCTTTGTTCTAATAAAGGAACACCTCTCACCTCTAAAATAAATCTATCCTTGTATAAGAAAATAATAGGAAAAAGGGTTTATGCTCTATTGAAGAAAACTATCACAAAAAGAACTTTGAAAGGAATGAAAACAAAATGAAAAGAAAACACAAAATCTGTGTTCTAAAATGCTATTTTAAAAGTAGATGCATCTCAGAAAATGTTGGCCTAATGTGTACGTATATATGGTTATATATTTTACATATTCATGTGTTTCAGATACAAACACACAAAAATGAGCAAATCCACAATTTATATGTGAGTATTTTGAGGAACCTTCAAAAAAATGGAAAAAAAAATCCATCTCACAGCAAAATTTGCAAGGAGGCAAAAAGGGCAAGCTGGGGAAAGCTTGTATTGTCTCCAAAAAAGAAGGAGTTTAGGGTAGTTGAGTCCTCAGGATCAGTGGCTATAGTTATAGAAGTAAAGTCTGTGATAGATGGATGAATGTGCAGAACTGGAACTTGATTAGAAGTTCAAAAAATATATTATTTGAAACTTTGATTTTCTGAAGAAAGGAAATCAATTTTTTATTTTTAATACTGAAAGACATGAGAATGTAAAATTGATGAAACTGAGTAAATTGTACTTTCTATCTGAAAAAGGTCTGAAGACTATCACTTTTCAAAATTTCATGTTGAACAAAACATTTCTCATTTATTTGAAAAAAGAATGAGATGAAGCTAAATGAATGCTTAAAAACAGCTAGTTGATAATTTGCACCACACAATTCAATTAGCAGAAGATAATTATATAAAAAAGAGAAAGAACAATGAAACACATTTTCCATATGCATTAAGGAAACAGAAGTGTGAAATAATTTAATTATTTGCCAATACAAATTGGGGCATACACCATGAAATGGATTTTTTAATTTATTTTTTCCACACTTGATTAGCCATGTAATTGTTTCTGAGTTTAACTTGCCAGTCAAGTTATATTCTAGCAGAAATATTCAGGACGATTTCAAAAACAGGAATGTAACAATTGTTTGACATTCTGGTGATATTAAATACTTATATTTCCTGGATTCTGTCCTGGAGAAACAATTTCAAAACTCTCCTTTAAATAGTGTCTTAAACTATGACAGTGAAAAATTCAGTGTTGCTGTCCACAGTACTGGATGGCATTTTGTCCAAACCAGAATGGAAAATTAAACTATTTTACTATTGTTCACAGCAAATTTTGAACATGGTCTTTGCTATTTAGTTTTGGTATCATACATTGCATGGGAAAGCATCTTAAAGTATCATTTTTCGCTTACAGAAACTTTGAGTATTCAGGCATTTTATGCCACCTTAATTTGAGGCAACACTTAAAAACTGGTCCAGTTGGTGGTGTTTCCTTGCACTGGGAGCAAATATTGCATTTGTGGGACATTCAACAATAATATTTAAAAGAAAATACACTGTTTCTGCAAAGATAGGTTTGTTCTTAAATCATGGCAACTATTGCATGTTAGTTCCCTTAGGATCAGAAAGAGATGAAGGTTCCATGTCTTATAAACTACAAATATTTCTGAAGATTCTGCTAGTAAAAATTATCTTTTGCAACTGCGTGCTTTAATTTCTTTAAAACCATGAATTTATTATTATTCTGCAAAGTGAAAAAATTGCCTTCTAGCATACTTTCTTATTCAAAATATTTGGGGCACAATCAATTATCTGTTTTTATCAGAATTATAAAACAATTAATCATTAAACAGATCACTAATTTTTTCAGAGAATTCAATGGAGTATTTGTTAGTTCTCCCATTCCCTATGGCAGGACATAAGAATTTGTCCATCCTTCTGCCGCCATCAACGATCATGTATTCAGCTTGTTTCAGATGAGCTAAAAGTCTTAAAACATTTTGTTTCAGGAAGGATGCATTAAAAATGTCTACTTGCTATGGAGAAATGATTTCTGGAACTCTTTTTATATGTCTCTCTTCCTCAGTGAACTAGGTTCATCAGTGATTGAGCCTGACAATTTCCTTGCCTTGTTTGGGAACATATGTTATTGAAAACCAGGGTTCTGAGTGATTAATGCAAGAAGTGATGGCTCACCAAGTGCCTGGTGAGTATCCCAGTGCTTTCCTTTGACATAAAGGGCATCATAACAGTCAAACGAGGAGCAGAATCTAAAAAAGCTCTAAGAATTTGACACAGAGCATCCCTGTTAACAAAAGATGGCTAGTAACTAGAATCATCTGTTAGAGTGTGTAGTCCACTGCCAGAATCAGAAAGCTGACTGTCTGCAGCTCCAGCAGTTGTTGCCCTAATGGAAGCTTCCATGTTAAAGGTTCGGTAGCCAGAAACAATCAGTGAACTGAACTGCACATTCTCTTCTCCTAATATGAGAAAAGTATGCTGTCAAACAAAAGCAAGTAAAAATGTAATGGGATTTCAACACCCTTTCTGCAGTGTGCGTTCACATCTCTTTTCTGCTTGATAAACATTTTCCAAATATAATAATGAAAAGCTGTTAAAAATCAATCAATCAATCAATCAATCAATCAATCAATCAATCTTTTTTGAGAGTAATGGCATTTAGTGATATTTATTGGTTCACATTGTGGTGCTGAATGCAATATGGTGTCTCCAATTATTGTATTATGAGCCCAGACAGGAATTTGCATAATTTTCTCAAGATGCTTTCAAGCCCAGGACTTCTGCGGTTCTCTCTTATGCCTGCTTTAAAAAGTGGCATCTGGACACAGCAACTTTACAGCTGGCAGTGAGTCACCACTTGTAAGTTCTCAAGTTAATTAGAGAAGATAAGTTTTGTTGGCACATTTGTCTAGGATTGTCTAATATTACACTTAAGGTCTGCAGGGCATTTTGCTAGACTGAACTGCAGAAAAATGAGATAGATTTCCAAGCCAGCCACTGGAGTCAATCTAGTTAAGCTAAGGCAGTTTAGTGTAATTTCTAAAAACCAGTATTCTAAGGAGTGTTAGTAATGCACTTGGAATAGAACTGTTGTGCATTTCTTTGAAATTATATGGTAAGTCAAGTTAAGACATAACTAAAATCCTGGCAACAAATTCAGCTTGGTAGATTTCAGAAATAAGCCTAATAAGCTTAGTGAGGGAATCAAAAAACAAAGCTAGTATTTTATCTAGTTCTCTTAATGCATAGATCTTTGAATTTTTACCAAATTAGAATCCTTTAGAGTTCCTTTCTCTGAATACTTCAAAACAATCCAAAGTTATAACCTTTGCCTACTTGATGGTTGGCTCAAAAGATCAAATCCTAGTGGTCTCAATATACTTACACTAAAATTCTAGGTATCCATGGAAATGAAAGTTTACCATCACCACCTGCAGTACCTCTGTGAGGTGCTGCAGTGGAGCCAGTACAACTTTAAACTGAAAGTGACACACCTCATTACCCCACTCTCTAGATTATTTCTGTAGGAAGACTGTAAGTAGCTGCAAGGGAATACCTCTATAGTAAACTGATGGTAAAGATTTTAACTTATATGTTACTGCTTAGATATCAGTATCTGAATCCAGACTGTGGATTAACACTGCATACAGAACCCTGGATCTTATTTAAAACAGAGGCAGAAAAATAGAAAATACACTATAGAAAAATACACTAAAGTTATTTTTAACTTTGCCTTCTTTCTTCTTTTCACTTTTCCTAAGTATAAAATGAAACAGGGAGTTTTACCTAAAAAAGCAGATCTCTGTGCTGTTGAAGAAAGTAAATATGATTCACAAAACCAAATCCAAAATTAACCTGAGGCTGTAAAGTTGATTTACTCATCAAAATGAAGAATTTATTAAATTAGAGGTTGAATTTCCAAAGACATTAACCTGGACCACCAAAATGGAATATCTGGCTACATTTATAACTGCTTGTTTAGAAGTATGAAAGCTGTAGCTCTGGAACAAGCAAATGGCTTTGTTATTTCAGATCAGTTGTCTCTTTTATGCCAGTCTATTCATGCAATTACCCAATGTGCATACACATAGTGAATCCTCATAAATGTTCAGGAGAGATGTATCTTAGTTGATTTGAGTAGTGACAAATAGATGGTATAAGCCATCAGTTGCTAAATCACATGCTAAAGTTAGGTCAAC